CATTAAGAACATTAGATAATAAGCCACAATAGAAGTTCCAAACTCTACAGATTAGTAGATACTTCTCAAAAAAGTACCAGGAACACATCTCACGTAAGAGATGACTTTAATGAAATGACCTACAAACGCTTGCACACATTAAGAACATTAGATAATGAGCCACAATAGAAGTTCCGAACTCTACAGCTGTCAAAGTGTTCAGAAAATCATGATAGCATTTGTAGATACTCCTCATCAAAGTACCAGGAACACATCTCACGTAAGAGATGTCCTTAATGAAGTGACCTACAAACGCTTGCACACATTAAGAACATTAGATAATCAGCCACAATAGAATTTCTGGACTCTAGAGCTGCCATAGTGTTCAGAAAATCATGATAACATTTGTAGATACTTCCATCAAAGTACCAGGAACACATCTCACGTATAAGAGATGTCTTTAATGAAGTCAAGTGACCTACAAACGCTTGCACACATTAAGGACATTAGATAATGAGCCACAATAGAAGTTCCGGACTCTACAGCTGTCAAAGTGTTCAAAAAATCATGGTTACATTTGTAGATACTTCTCATCAAAGTACTAGGAACACATCTCACGTAAGAGATGTCTTTAATGAAGCCAAGTGACCTACAAACGCTTGCACACATTAAGGACATTAGATAATGACCCACAATAGAAGTTCCTGACTCTACAATTTGTAGATACTTCTCATCAAAGTACCAGGAACATATCTAACGTAAGAGATGTCTTTAATGAAGTGACCTACAAACGCTTGCACACATTAAGAACATTAGATAATGAGCCACAATAGAAGTTTTTGACTCTACAGTTTGTAGATACTTCGCATCAAAGTACCAGGAACACATCTCACGTAAGAGATGTCTTTAATGAAGCCAAGTGACCTACAAACGCTTGCACACATTAAGAACATTAGATAATGAGCCACAATAGAAGTTCCGGACTCTAAGTACTGCCGCTTCGCGTGTAGACAACAGGATCTTCTAATTAGAGGTTATTTTGTGAATTAGGTGGTCACTCAGGTACTGTTAGGTACTTATTTGTCTATGAATGTACTTAATACATTTTGTTTACGTTGAAGACGATCATTTTTTTTTTCCTAATTTATAGTACTAAAAAATCTTAACTTAACTTAACTTAACGTACATAAAAAAAATAGTACTTAAAACATGTAAAAAAAATCTTAGGAGGTACACCTATACAGTAAGAAGGTAGTAACTTTTGAAATGCTCTTTTTATCAGTTTATATCAGCGTCATGCAAATCATTCTCTTACCATACCTACGTTCTGCAAAACTATAGTATTCTAAAATACCATGCAGTAGAAATTCAATTCAATAGCTGCGAAAATTCAGAAATTGTTTCCTATCTGCCTTAATTACTCAACTACGATATAACAAACCATCCCTTCCTCATATTATTCATTTACCTTCAAAAGTGTATACCTCTTTTGGGAAACCTCGCCAAGCTTCTCTGATATTCCTATCATTCATATTTGCCATAAAATTACTCCAACGCCAAGAAACAATTAAAATAAAACAACTTCAAAATATCTCCTTCTGGCAGGAAACCTTAGCAACTTTGAATCACAGTCGACAGCCACAGAAAACCACCCCTTCAAAAACAAAATAATCCTGCCTGAGGAAGAACATTTTGCAAGTTTCGAAAAAAACACATCCCCTACCAATAATTATACATCTACCTCCAAAGCACCATCAAAGTGTCTCCCTCTGGTGGGAAACCTCGGGAAGTTTCCCCGTCGACAACCACAGAGGCACAGACTAGAAAAGCGGTGCCCGCCCATTCGCGTTAATTGCTTAATCGCTGGCGAACATTAATTGGCTTAGCTGGACTTGTTAAGGCGACGCTAAGAGATGAAAGAGGAAATATTTCAGTAAAATACTCAAGGATTTTGCAGGAAATGTTTTTTAATGCAGTTACTTACTTACAAATTGCTTGTGAACAATTTTATGTTCAAGTTACGTCTAATCATATTTCTGTGAATTGTTGTAAGTAGGTATTTCTGCTTTCAGCCTTGAATTTAAATCAATTCTTAGTTATTTTTTATAAGTTTCAAGTACCTATATTTTTACGTAACTAAACATTACACGTTTCATGTTAAAATCCCTCAACGAAAATGACATACTTCTATACGTAGCCTATGCATAGTGTAGAGCAGTACATATCTTAAGACCAGAAAGTAAATCCACTAACAACTCACAAGCAACTTAAACTCGTCTTCATTTGCGCTGTCATCCCCTTAATCAGGGCGGGCACTTAAGTCCGCCAACTCTACAACTTCCGGAGAGCCGACAACTTTAAGCCCCGTAATTACAAGGCGAGATGGCTAATTAAGCCGGCGCTCGGACCAGAATTAATTACTCGTTTCCAGTTTAAACAGGTTCTAACTGGCTGTTAGGGGAGGTTTGACCTTCGAGGGAAATCGTGGGAGAGTGCGAAAGTCTTTTGTTTATTTGATAGTCGTTTGGTCAATGATTTCAAGCGTTTAGCGGTTAGGTTACGGAAACAAATGTAAGTAAGTGTAAAGTATGAACTAATTACTGCTTTTTAAAAGCAGGTTTGACCTTCGAGGGAAATCGTGGGAGAGTGCGAAAGTCTTTTGTTTATTTGATAGCCGTTTGTTTAAGGTTTGGTCAGTGATTTCGAGCGTTTAGCGGTTTCGGAAACCAATGTACTAAGTAAAAAGTAGGAACTAATTACTGTTAATTAAAAGTAAAGGGGAGGTTAGACCCTGGAGGGAAATCGTGGGAGAGTGCGAAAGTCTTTTGTTTATTTGATAGCTGTTTCTTTGAGAGATTTGGTCAGTGATTTCAAGCGTTTAGCGGTTACGGAAACAAATGTAAGTATAAAGTATGAACTAATTACTGCTTCCTAAAAGCTGGGGAGGTTAGACCTTCGAGGGAAATCGTGGGAGAGTGCGAAAGTAAACAATTTTTGGAAAACTTCCAAAATTGTTTACCTAACACGAGAAGTGTTTTAAAATTTGGTATTCAGTGCGAAAGTATTTTGTTTATTTGATAGCCGTTTGTTTGAGGTTTGGTCAGTGATTTCAAGCGTGTAGCGGTTCCGGAAACAAATGTAAGTGTAAAGTATGAACTAATTACTGTTTCTTAAAAGTAGGGGAGGTTAGACCTTCGAGGGAAATCGTGGGAGAGTGTGAAAGTCTTTTGTTTATTTGATATCGTCTTTTGTTTATTTGATGGCCGTTTGTTTGAGAGGTTTGGTCAGCGATTTCAAGCGTTTAGCGGTTGCGGAATCGAATGTAAGTATAAAGTATGAACTAATAATTACTGCTTCCTAAAAGCAGGGGAGGTTAGACCTTGGAGGGAAATCGTAGAAGAGCGCGAAAGTCTTTTGTTTATTTGATAGCCGTTTGTTAAAGGTTTGGTCAGTGATTTCGTGTTTAGCGGTTTCAGAAACAAATGTAAGTGTAAAGTATGAACTAATTACTACTTCTTAAAAGCTGGGGAGGTTTGACCTTCGAGGGAAATCGTAGAAGAGCGCGAAAGTCTTTTGTTTATTTGATAGCCGTTTGTTAAAGGTTTGGTCAGTGATTTCGTGTTTAGCGGTTTCAGAAACAAATGTAAGTGTAAAGTATGAACTAATTACTACTTCTTAAAAGCTGGGGAGGTTTGACCTTCGAGGGAAATCGTGGGAGAGTGCGAGAGTCTTTTGTTTATTTGATAGTCGTATTTCTTTGAGAGATTTGGTCAGTGATAACAAGCGTCTAGCGGTTTCGGAAAAAATGTACCTAAGTGTAAAGTATGAACTAATTACTGCTTCTTAAAAGCTGGGGAGGCTAGACCTTGGAGTGAAATCGTGGAGAGTGCGAAAGTCTTTTGTTTATTTGATAGCCGTTGGTTTGAGGTTTGGTCAGTGATTTCAGGCGTTTAGCGGTTCCGGAAACAAAGTAAGTGTAAAGTATGAACTTAGTACTGTTAATTAAAAGTAAAGGGGAGGTTAGACCTTAGAGGGAAATCGTGGGAGAGTGCGAAAGTCTTTTGTTTATTTGATAGCCGTTTGTTTCAGAGGTTTGGTCAGTGAATTCAGGCGTTTAGCGGTTTTGGAAACGAATGTATGTATAAAGTGTGAACTAATTACCGTTAATTAAAAGTAAAGGGGAGGTTAGACCTTGGTGGGAAATCGTGGGAGTGTGCGAAAGTCTTTTGTTTATTTGATAGCCGTTTGTTAAAGGTTTGGTCAGTGATTTCGTGTTTAGCGGTTTCAGAAACAAATGTAGGTATAAAGTATGAACTAATTACTGTTAATTTAAAGTAGGGGAGGTTAGACCTTCGAAAGAAATCGTGGGAGAGTGCGAAAGTCTTTTGTTTATTTGATAGCCGTTTGTTTAAGGTTTGGTCAGTGAATTCAGGCGTTTAGAGGTTCCGGAAACAAATGTAAGTGTAAAGTATGAACTAATTACTGCTTCTTAAAAGCAGGGGTTAGACCTTCGAGACAAATCGTGGGAGAAAGCGAAAGTCTTTTGTTTATTTGATAGCAGTTTGTTTGAGAGGTTTGGTCAGTGATTTAGAGCGTTTAGCGGTTCCGGAAACAAATGTAAGTGTAAAGTATGAACTAATTACTGTTTCTTAATTATAAGCTGGGGAGGTTAGACCTTCGAAGGAAATCGTGGGAGAGTGCGAAAGTCTTTTGTTTATTTGATATCGTCTTTTGTTTATTTGATAGCCGTTTGTCTGGGGGTTGTGGTCAGCGATTTCAAACGTTTAGCGATTTTGGAAAGAAAAGTGTAGTATAATTATTAGCTGTTAATAACAGGGGAGATTTGACCGTAGAGGGAAATTGTGGGAGAGTCTTTTGATTAGGTGCTTGGTCATACTCTTTTGTTTATTTGATCGTCGTTTGTCTGCAGTACTCTGGGTGTTTTGGTCAGTGACTTCGTTGGTTTAACGGTTCTAGGAACAAAGTTGTACGAATGAAAATAAGAAATAGAAAAAATGTCAAGCGTCGACCGGGAATCGAACCCGGGGCCAGTAGGGTACCATCCTACTGCTCTGCCACTGAGCTATCGACGCACCGGTTGTAATTTTTTCAATTTCTTATATAATTCTAGGAACAAAGTGTTACGAATGAAAATAAGAAATAGAAAAAATGTCAAGCGTCGACCGGGAATCGAACCCGGGGCCAGTAGGGTACCATCCTACTGCTCTGCCACTGAGCTATTGACGCACCGGTTGTAATTTTTTCAATTTCTTATTTTCATTTATAGGAAACATATAGCATTGTGAGTGCGTTAAAAATCACAGTAAAGTGATATGATAATTATGAACTAGGCATGCCTCTTAAAAGAAGAAGGGATAAAAGACCATGTTTTCTTTTTGTTTAATGGATCCTTTTATGACTGCTGCAGTATTATAGTGTAGTGACCATGGTATCTCTACATTTTCGCAAAGTTCTCTAGGTAGGTATCTAGGATTACCTTAAAACCTCAGTAGCTGTATTTTATATTTTTATATCATTTTTAAAAGAGGTGATTTATAAATTTGTTCTTATACATGCGCCTACCTCCTCAGTTATTTCCCAAGTACCTACCAACAGATAGGTATGTCGATAGACGTTGCCAAGAAAGCAATCTCAGCATAATTGTGTTAGATCGTCCAAGATAAGTAATTTAATATCAATCAAGGAGCCGTCGGAAAATTAAACAGAAAACGAGGAAATTGAATTAAAAAGAAGTCGGAAGCTAACAGTCTCGGTTACAAATTAAACAAGCCGAGTGTCAGCGGCCTGATTTAAGACGAGGCAAATCTAATTACCACGAGACTCCCGCATCCGATCTTTAATTGAGAACTTTCAGCCGGACCCCCTCCCTCACCCCTCCCTTGTTTGCATTTCCCCTCTAATAGCATCCCGGCGTCGATTACATTTTTTTAACATTTTTTAATTTCGTTCGTCGTTTTAATTTTCTTCGCGCTCGCCTTTTCTTTTATGTCCGCGTTTTTTCCTTTCCTCGCGCCAGCGATATTTCTCACCGCCATTATACGGGCCGTAATGAGATTTTCTTTCATTATGTTTAATCTCCCGATTAATTCAAATGTTAATCTTCTCTTTTCACGTCGCCTTTTTTACGAGTGAGGCGCTACCGTGGCGAAACGGAATCGTCGCAATCAACTACGGACTTCGGGCGCGACATTTGAAAATAATTAACTCGGGGACGTGACTATCGCCCGGTTGGTTCTGCAGGCGGGTGGCGAGATCGGACGCCGATTAGGTCGTCAATAATTTAATTCGCAACAAATTCAAAACGCCGGCCCCCAGATAGGTGCGCGACGTGTCCGGAACGCCAATGGGAGCCGATGGCGAGTCTTGAAGTCGCCAAATTGAAAACACCTCCGGCGCGGCTGTAAACACGTCACGTGATTTAGGTTTTAATCAAGTAGGGACGCGCCGCCCCGTCGTAATTGTGACAAATCCTCTGTTTGTCCGAAGGAACTTTTAACTCGGCACCGGAACGGGCCTTAACGGCTCTTCGCACGTGCCCGTGAGAGGGAGACGTTTTTTTGTCGACACATGTGTGTTCCCTCCGCCCCTCTCCCGGGTTGCTCCCTCCCGTCCCCGTCTTGATTAATTTTTAATATTTTTTCTTCCAGTTCACGTACGCAATTTTCACTTTCCCGCTTACACGGCGCAGTTTTGTTTAGGTAAAGGTGGTGTGACATCAACATCACGTAGCTCAAGTCTACTTATTTATTGTCGTATCGTTTGTTTTGCTGAGGATCTACAAGTTACTTTCAACCATTTATCACCAAATAAGTTGGGTGTACCTGTAACTATTCGAAGGGATTTTAAGGCCATCATACGCAGCATATCGTCACCTCCATGTTAAAGTAACGAATCTGCAAAAATCACTTTTTTCAGGAGAGCTAAAAACGTCTTGTTTTTAAATTTTGAAATATGCGCCATTAACTTTTGCTAATATTAAATTACTTTAGGTTTATAAAATTACAAGCCCTGTCATACGATTTATGCGGAAATAATTTTAATCATTAAATATGAAAATAATGCATATTCGTTAGTTTTGACCACGTATAGAAACCAGAAAAATGTCTCGTTCTTGACCAAGCCAAAGTTACGAAAGTGGCATATTCGCTAGTTTGCATCAAACATTTTAAGTTTTTAGGCGTGCATTTTTACGAATCTTCATATAGATAAATATACATTTTTTATTAAAGTATATTTATACGTACAAAATAAAATCTTATTGTTAAAAAAAGATAATTTACTTGTTAACCCTTTGAATGCCACTGACGCTAAGGACTAGCAGCGTATTTTAAATATTAATAACGGATGCGTGCATAAGCATGAAAATGAGATTCTTCTTCTTCTTCTTGTCGAATCAATTGCGATCTCGTCAAATTTTGCGGGCTCAGAATTCAGCCACCCTAATCGCTTCTGTGGTAGCGGCCATCAGGTCTTCGCGTGTGCAGGTGCTGGGGCACGCGGTTCAGGAAATAAGGTGAGGAATGCATTGTCTGGGAGGAGGCAGCACACTCACACGTGTTGTTGGGGCTGTCAGTATAGCCCCACCTGACCAGACTGTCTTTGCAGCGACCGACCTGGGTCCTTAATGTGTTTAGTGACTTCCAGGTCAGCCATGGCAAGTCGTGCCCAGTGGGGAGACTTTCCTTCAGAGGTAGTAGTGGAGTGGGCGCCTCTTCTTTCCAAAGATCGAGTCTCGCCTAAGATGGGTTGTCTGTTGCCGGTGGATTCACGCTGTTCAAGAAGCTTCGGCGGCTTTGCGGTGCAGAGGAGCATTCGAACATTGGGTGTCAGGGATCTTGTTGTTTTTTACCCATTTCGACAGAACTTGCCACTTCTCTGCGGATTTCAGATGGGGCGATACCTACAAGTGGATAAAGCATACTTAACGGGGTCGACTTTAGGCAGCCCGTTATAATCCGACAGGTTTGATTGAGTGGTTTATCCACTTACTTGGCGTGAGCTGATCGGCTCCATACCAGGCAGGCATATTCGCCGTTTGAAAAGCACAGTGCCAGTCCAGTCGACCGTAGTACTGTTGGTGAGGCTCCCCATTTGGTGGACGTTAGTCGATGAAGATGAAGTCGATTACGGCTGGTGACTTTTTTCCTCACACCTTTACAATTTGCCTTGTGGTTTAGTGCCCTGTCAAGAATCACTCTTAGGTACCTCGGATGCGCACAGTAAGCGATTGGCCCTCCTTCCCACGATGCGTTGAGGGTGCGGTTGGCCTGATGATTCCGCAGGTGGAAGGCACAAGTCTGTGTCTTTGTAGGGTTAGGTTTCAGTGCATTATCAAAGTAGTACTGCTTCAGAACTGTGAGTGCAACCTGAAGGTGTCTTTCTACTTCTTCAAACGACTTAGCTTGCAAAGCCAGGGCCAGATCATCAGCGTAAATAAAACGGTTCGTGTAGATGGCTGATCGTTGGTATATGTGTTAAATAAGAGAGGGACGAAAACTCTTCCCTGAGGAAGACCGTTTTTCTGAGATCGCCATCTACTTTTGTCCCCTGGCAGGTGCACCTGAAACCGGTGGTTAAACTTTACATAATTTTGAACTTATACCATTTCGCCCACTTTACAGAGTAGTCTTTTCAAGTTCATGGTATCGTAGGCAGTAGAGAAGTCGACAAACACCCATTTACGATATGCTGCCTGAGATTTAGGGTTTGACTGCAGCATGACTTGCCTGCTTCTGTATAAGTTTGTATTATTATAGCATACGCTCAAACAGTTTGTGTAGATGGCAGAGCAAAGAGATGGGTCTATAGCTTTTCGAGTTCGTTACTCGGTTTGCCTGGTTTCAGTAACGCAATAATTTTGGACTTTCTCCATAGCCAGGGGATTTTAGCCAGAGCAAGGCAGCCGTTGAAAAGCTGTAGCAGCCATGAGACAGCAGCGGCCCAGATGTTGGATTTGCTCAACAGAGATAATTATTGTCATCGCCTAAGGCTTTACCAACTTTTGGGGGTTTGATAGCAATGACAATAACCCCAAGAACAAAAGGCTTGCTTATAGCGTCATTGTTTGACCTAGCGTGAGCGTGGGTCTGCGCCCTCGCAGGATCCCCTGATCCTGCTTGTCGCTTTAAGGGTTTACCGTTTAGTAGCAACTGGTGCGCTATTTGATTAGCCGAAACCAGGTCAGGAGTAGAGGCTTGTGGGGGTTCACTCGTAAGACTTCGTATGGTTGACCATGCTTCTTTGCTGTTGTTCGTCATGTTGATGCTGATAACGGTTCTGGTCCATTTTTCGCGGCTTGACTCGCTGATTTGTGACAGAAATTGTTCTCCTAGCTGCAGGGTTTCCTTTGAAAAACGATAATTGTTGAAAGCGGCGTCGTATAGCTTCAGTAAACCGACTGATTCACGTTGGAGATCTAGGATATAAGATGTATAACAACCCCTGGGGATGAATTTCCTGGACGTGGTGGTAACTATGTCGACAAACAGATTATAGTTTCTGGTCTAAATGCTACATGGTAGAAGATTTAGACATTTTTCATTTATCGCGTTGGCGTACTGTTCTTAGTTTGCCTTCGTGTAGTTAAAGCGGCGTCTAAAGGGTATAGTGACGGGACAAACAACCGGGCGGATGAGACAAAGTAGGGGCCTGTGTTGGATTTGAGCTGGCTACGTATTTCAATGCTTGAGTGCTGACAGACACCTGAGCTGGTAAATACGAGTCCCGGGTTGTAAAATATATTAAAGTTTATTAGGAAAAAGTCGCGACTGTGTATGGATTTTCTTAAAAAATCATTACGTACCATAGTAAATGTTCTAATCTGCCACATTCGGAAATTTGCTACAGCGAAATACTCATTGCGACAAGCATGAAGCTGTAGCAAATTTACGAATACGACAAATCCATTACTTTACCATGGTGAAAATAATTATTTTGGCTATATCAGATACCATAGCAAACATGCGAATATGACAGATTCGTTAGTTTGAAATGGTGGAAATGATAATTTTGCTTATATCAAATACCATAGCAAACATGCGAATATGACAGTTTCGTTAGTTTGCAATGGTGA